AAATGCTGTGAATTTCTTTTGCAAATAAAAATATACTAGCAATTTTCTATATGGTTTATTCAAGTGGGCAAAATATAATGTACAGAAAGATTGCCCGTAGAGTATCGCTACACTGAAAAGTAAGCAACCGACAGCTGCATAAAAGGGGGGCTGTGATTGGCTGTTACTTATGCGAGATTTGAACGGGACTTGCATAGGCGTCGGATCAGATGTAGGTAGGGCAGAATTAAAAAAAAAAATCACAAAATCAAAGTAAAATAGTAAAATAAAAGGGCATTAATAACAAAAGTAATAAAATTAAAATAAGTCTATAGCCACAATAATTAAAGCCCGTACACTACATCAGATTTTAATCAGATTGGTATAAATACAGCATTACATATTCTTTTTTTTTTTTTTTACTTGTAGACCAATTAAGCCGCATTTTTTTCGTAATTGTGCGTACCGGTAAAAGGCACATGCGGCAGAATGAAATAAATGTTGTTTTCTGTATCATAAATGCATGCATTATTTACTCAATATTGGTATCTTGTTGCTGTGGCATTAACAATGTACAATACACACAAAATGAAATAAACCGCGGAACTATTCAATATTCATTTTCCATTTGAAATTTGACTACTAGTGTTCCTGGCAGTTGTCGGATTCGAAACAGTTTGTTACTGTACATGGTGGGAAAAATGGAGTGATCCTCAAACTAACCGTGCGAAAACAAACAACACTCTAAGTGTGCTTGTGACATTTTGTATTAAGTTAGGGATACCTTTCTTCTGATGTCAGTGATTCAAAATGGTCGACATAAGGCCTCATTTGGAGGAACACATTGCCGCTGAACCGAAGCCGGTAAGTCGCACTAAGGTTGTTGTTCGTGTTAAATATTAAATTAGTTTCGTAGATAGCAATACGTGCTTTCAATGAAACAACGGGTGTACACTGACCCAATTTACGGCGATTGGTCGTAACCAATGTCAACCTACATTTAATATTATTGCGGGTACAGTGTTAGTTGTATTTCCACGGTTACGATACATTGAATTCGTCTCTTTCTTTCTCTTGTTTAAAGCGTTCACGATTTGGTCCAGCTGTTCACCAGGTACTCACATGTATGATCGAATGTTTTGTAATGCTCATTGTCACCCGCTTACTCTGTGTACGCCCGTCTTCACTTGCCACTAGTAATAACCCTCGGTCGATCGGTCGATTGACCAGTAAGTTGTCTTCATAGCCTACTACGCCACGTCATTCAACGGCTCGGCTCTTAGTGCAATTAATGTTGTTGTTTTTTGTTGTTGTTTTTTTTTTTGTCTTTCCGGTGTTGGGTCATTCGCAATAAATTGGATAACGGTGTCGCTTGATAGCAATCCAAAAACTGTGGCTAGACAGCCGTCATTGTGCATTTGTGTCAATCAATTGATAACTCTCAATTGCTCCATTTTCCTTTTTATTTTCAGACAATAGATTTATCTAAGTTGACTGACAAAGAAAGGTGGAGGTACGTTTTAGATATCAAATATTATTACTGACATATGCTATCCTATAATCTCTCGTACTAAAATTTAATTTGTACTAGAGAAACAGAGTGACTGGTTGATTTCAATATAGCTTTTTTGTTTAGAGGGAATTATTCTAATGTATAGCCCAGTTCCTCTATAGATTGTTACCTGCAGGGGTGTGTAAAATGGGGGAGGGGGGTAGTAACCATCATCATCACATGATCAATCACAAGACATTGTTTTTGGTTATTTTTTTAAGATGTTAAGCTCATGGAAACAATAAAATCATTCATCATTGTAAGTCTTGTGCATTAATTAGTATCCATGATTACAAATCATGAGTATGCCCTGTAACCATGGTGATAAATAATGGGTTGAGTAATAAACAATTATTCAGAATGAATTGATAAATCCTTACTTAATAGGAAGGTCAATGTTGTGATTTTTTATAGTTGCCTAATATTATGCGTATGTGCTGTTAAAGGCCCAGTAGCTGTAATGAAAACGTCTCTAACGGCGTTCTAAATAACTATTTTCGGTTGAAAACTTGTTGCATTTATCTTTGAAATTGCTTATCTTCTGTTATAATAAAATTTACATCGATCTCTGTGCGGATACGAATGCGTGGAAAATGCTCGCGAACGAACTCAACGCCATATTTCTAGGTCGTCTGACTGATCACGAGATGAAGAACTCCAACAATCATTGACGCTGCAGTTCGGCGTCTTCTACACCGATCTGACGCATATCGCGCTAGGTGTGCCGGGAGTTTGTTCGAAATTTCGAACGTTTCGAAGTCAATTGTCGATTGCCACGTATTTTACGGATATATTAAATCGTTTCAGAGACCTGTTTACTAAATAATGATAAATGAAACTTAGAAAGCTTGTAAGAACAAACTGGGCCCAAATCGCGCAAATTGCAATAAGTTTACGCTGGTTCGGATGGAGTTCTACGCGTGATTTTATTGCGAGCGCGGAGTAATGACTGGTGGAATAGAGTCGTCAGGGGGGAGGGGGAGTTGCATGACACGATTGGTTGAAATAATCGTCTC